ACTGGAGGAAGATTAGGCAATCTACCCACTCGATAACAGTGGGTGTAGTTTTTGCCATTGGTGTAGGGAGCCCTGGTGGCTCAATGGTTAAGTGCTCTGCTGCTAACCAAAAGGTTGACAATTAGAACCCACCAGCCTCTCCATGAGAGAAAGATGTGATGATCTGCTTCCATAAAGTTTACAATCTTAGAAATTCTATGGTGCAGTTCTACCCTGTCCTATAGGGTGGCTTTGACTCTGGTAGCATAGTGCCTAAGACACTGGACTGCTAACCAAGAGGCTGGTGGTTCAAACTCACCAGCCACTCCTTGGAAGGAAGACTGGGCAATCTACTTCTATAGTGATGCTGCCACAGAAACCCAAGGAGGGGTGACTGTGAGTCAGGTCCAACTCCACTGCATATAACAACAACAACAATAAGATGGCAACAAAATGGCCTTTGGTGTCAATTATTTGGAAATTGCTAAACTAGCAATATAGTGATATTATTGTAAATTGCCTGAAAGATGGTTTGGCTAGCCCTGAGACTAGTTCTTCTGTGGGCCATAAGTCAAGTTGTAAATTCTATTATTCTGTAGCGCTTTTGGCACCCAGCTGTTAATGACGTGGTTAAGAACAAAGTTTGCTTAGTCTGCTTACTGGTCTCCTTAATCTCAGGGTAAATGAGCCATTGGTTCTCTGCTTGATAGGATGGTTTAAGGTCACTCACAGAAAACCATAAACTCACTTCCTTCCAGTCAGATCCAACTCGTAGCAACCCCTCTTTGGGTTTCCTGCGGTATCACTATGGAAGTAGATCAGTAGATCTTCCAATCTTTCTTCCGAGGAGTGGCTGGTGGGTGGTTACCTCTTTAAACCTGAGCTTGGGAGGCAGTAAAGTGTAGTAAAGTGATTAGGAACATTAGCTCTTTAGTCAGACTTCTTGGTTTGCAACCACTGGGTGTATCATCTTGAGCAATTACTTTAGCCTACTGTGACTCAATTTCTAAAGCAATATTATGGGGAAATGATTGTGAGGATTTAAGGAGAACAACACATGCAAACCCTTAAAGTAGAGCTGGCCCTTCCTCTGCACTCAGCAAGCATTAGTTACTGTGATTGTTAGAGCAAGTTTGAAAGTTGAACTGATAATTTTCTTGGCCAAAAAAGAAGCTACCATTTTCTGCATATCTATGATTCTTTTACCATTCCAGATTTCTAATATTTAAAATTTTGTTTGATGTTTTATTATAAGTCAGTGCCTAAGGCATCTGACTGCTAACCAGAAGGTTAGTGGTTCAAACCCACATGCCACTCTATGGAAGCAAGACTGGGCAATGTACTTCTGTAAAGATATACCACCTCAGAAACCCAACAGGGGTCACTATGAGTCAGAATCAACTCGATGGCAGTGGGTTTGTGTTTTTAATTATAAAAATAAGACTTGCTTAACTGTAGTAGATGTATAAACTGCCAACACATACTTTAAAAAAATTAGTGATTGCCTTTTAATCCAGACTTCCTGCCTCCCAGAAAGCCTGTTAAATTGTTGTTGTTGTTGTTGTTATTTGCTGTCGAGTTGGCCCCGACTCATAGCGACCCCTCCTTGGGTTTCTGAGGCAGTATCACTACGGAAGTAGGATTGCCCAACCTTCCTTCCGAGGAGTGGCTGGTGGGTTTGAACCACCAGCCTTCTGGTTAGCAGTCAAGTGCCTTAGGCACTATGCTACCAGAGCCCCTTTAGTTGGCATCATCTTTTCAACTGAAAAAAACAACATAATTGTGGATTTTTGTTTGTTAGTTGGCTTGTTAATTGTTTATTTATTAAATGATAGTCAATGAGTGATGCTTTTGGACCCAAGGATTTGGTTAAAATGGTAACCTTTCATTATGTCATTGTTTCTGAGGGAAAAGTCTGTGGGAGGCTGAGAGGGGCATGTATGCTCTGCAGGATGTGTGGACTATTCACCCTGTGGATTTGGCATCTAATGCTTCCAACAAGACTCAACTCTGTGTTTACTCAGACTCTCCTTCCCAGGTCCCTAGCAAAAACAAACATACATGTTGAGGTGAGCATGGAGGAAACTTTCTATTAATGTGATTTCTCTGTAATGTCTTAATTGTTAACATTATGTGACTATTGTAACAGATAACACTACATTAATAAAATACTGTTGGTCCCCACGTCATCCCTTTGAGGTCAGGAGGGCTTATTCTCCCCAGTTTACAGAATATGAAACTGAGACTCAGAGAGTGGGTGAGTTGCCCAAGGTCACCAAATCCAATAAGCAATAGAAACACAGAATTGGAAGCAGGGCATTCTGGCTCTAGGTAAGTAATGTTTTCAACAAAAAAATGGCGACCTTGAGACCTATTTTCCCTCCATTTAGATAGATTTTTAGAATATTTAGTAGTTATATTTAAAGGAACAAAATGATTGGGTTATTGCTAAAATTGAAAATATTAAAATTAAAAAAAGAAAACTATATTTACATTTTAAATGAAACAATTAACTGTATAATTTGCAAAAACATGAAATAGACCTTTTCAATAAAACTGATAAAGGAAGAAAAATCTCAGTGTCATTAACAGGGTGTGTGTGGGGGTGTGGACCACACCAGGTGACACTGTCAGAAGGTATGACACCAAAATAACTGCCTACAAAATTTTCATGTTGTGTTTCAGAAGAAATTTATTATTATTTTTTAAAAAAATATCCCTGTAGTTAGTTACAATAGTAAAAACATTTCCTGTAAGCCCAGCTTACATGTTACCTATAAGGCTAAAACTCTATGCTGATTTAGTTTTTGGATCTTCTAATATCAAATCACACATTATTCTATGATTAAAATTGATAATAAACATTAGTAAGGATTCTTGTATGGTCTGGTATGTGAGGAGGTCCATGGGGTTACACCATGAGTTATCACACTGGTGACACCAACCCTAGTGATGCCACTGATCCTGACCATGTTTGCTTCTCACCAGGGGTCCCAAAGGCCCATGTGGAGTGAGTTTCACTGGCTTGGTTGGGCACCTACTATGTGTAAAACACTTTGTGTGCTGTGAGAGAGACAAAGATGAAGGTAGCATGGGTCCTGATATCCAGAAATCAGATAGGCACCAAGATGAGTAAAACAGGAAACAAAATTTAGTGTGTATGGTAAAGATAGTTCAAGGTACTATGGGAATTAATAAAGAGACAGTGAGTACCTTTAGTTTGAGGCATCAATAGAAGTGCTGGAAGAAGATGTCAACTATTTAGAGTAAAAAAATTTTCAATACTGACAAATACAGGTAATATGTACTAACAAAAAATCTTATTTGGCACAGAGTCAGCGAATATGAGAGGAAACCCTCAATGAGATGGGTTAACACAATGGCCACAATGATGGACTCAAACATACCCATGACAGGAAGATGTTGTATGACTGCTCATAAAGTCTCCACGAGTTGGAGCTGAGGTGACAGCAGCAAACAAAGCTACCACCACTTAAAATAAAAAAATTATGTTTTGTCATACTTGCTCAGATTTTTAAAGTACATAGATAAAGCAATACATAGAGTTGAAGTTCTTTCCTCCTTCTCTGAGCCCTTTCTTTCCCCAAAGGGGCCCTTATCAGAACTTAGCCAGTCTTTGAAGGATGGATGTGATTTTCTCTAGGAAGAGAGCATGCACAGAGGTGGGGAAACAGGGATGTGTTTGGGGAAGTGCCTGTAGTTTGGTTTGTCTGAAGCATATAGGATATGTAGGGAGGGACTGGTGAGCTATACTGCTGAGATGTCATACTCATGGGGAGCCTTGAATGCCCACAAGTGAGACTGGTTTTTATGTAGCGGGTTTCTGAGTAGGGGAGGAGTGTTGGGCGGTTAAGAGAGCCAGAGGCTGGAGGCCAAGAGAATAAGTAGAAGGTTATTTCCAGAGTTCAGTGAGGGGGCAGAGGTTGAGTGGTGGGGGTGGTAGTAAGAAGGCCTGGTCCTAAGGTGAGGACAGAGAGAATGCACAGGAGAGCGTGAGGGCCCGTGGATAGGAGTGTCAGGTGACTGGATGTGGGGGCAAGGGAAAAGGGAGGACGGTAACAGGGAAGCCAGGAGGAGGGGTCTATTTATGAATGGGAGTAGGAGTGAGTGTACGTGTGTGTGTGTGTGTGTGTGTTTGTGTGTGTGTGTGTGTGTAGGGGAAAAGGAAACGAAGAGAAAGAATGGGACTTCATTTGGGACACCCAACTCAGAGGCCCCTGGAAGACCCCGAAGTGGTTTGGACTCACGTCGGGAGTCGGGGAAGGATGTCAACGCTTGGCAGACGTCAGTGTGGATACGAATCTGCTAAGACGTCAGAAATGATTCCTCCAGTGTGGCGGAGATGTTTACCAACAAGTGAAAAGATGCCCGCGATACAGCTCTGAACAGCCAACACCGAAGGGTCAAAGAGCCCAGAAAAGTAACAACGAACCCGCCGAGACCCCGGAGGGGCGGACTTCGGGAAAGGGGGCAATACTCAGGCCCTCGCCGGCTAGAAGCCCTCTCCAGAGCAAGCCTCGAGGCGCCCCCTGCAGGCATACCCTCTAGGAACCAGTTCTAAAGGCGGCTCCGCACTGCACCGAACAGCAAGCTAACGGGAACTCGGGACCAGCAACAAGGGTCCAGGTTAGAGATGGCTGGGGCACCTGGGCCGCGTCTTGGTTCCGAACCCGCTCCGAATCGCGCTCCCGGGTCGCGCCGCCAGGCCGCTTCTCCCTCTTTCATTTGGCTATTGGTGGATGTGCCCTTAGGTTGCTAGGACAGTATCCTATCACTTTCACTAGCTCCTCCCCGCGCCTTAACCCTCCTGTTGCTGTGACAACAGCTGGTGGCTGTTACTGGCTCCTCGCGAGCCTTCAGCACCGCCTCTTCCCGCCTTTCCCCTCCCTCGCCCAGGAGGGTGAGGGGAAGGCGGGGTGGGCTGCGTCTCCCAGGTAGCAGGGGACGCGGCGGTGCGGGTTCCCGGTTCCTCGGTTTAGAGGCACAGCGGCGCAGCGGCGGCGGTAGAAACCCAGGCTGGGGCCAGAACATGTCGGATCTAGGCTCAGAGGAGTTGGAGGAGGAGGGAGAGAATGATCTTGGGGTGAGAACTTCGGGAGAGGGAGAGGTTGTCCAGAGGCCGGTTCCTAGGTTGGGGAGGCGCGGAGACCAGGGAAACAGAACCACAATTGCCAGATAGCCCAAAACCAAATCCCAACTCATTGCCCCTAGTCGGACCCGACTCATAGCGACCCCTCCTTGGGTTTCCGAAACGGTATCACTACGGAAGTAGTTTGGCCAACCTTTTGTGCGAGGAGTGGCTGGTGGATTTGAACGGCCAGCCTTCTGGTTATCAGTCAAGTGCTTTAGGCACTACGCCACCGGGGCTCCTCCTGACAGGTAGCCCAGCCAGGGACAAAGGACCGCACTGGCTACACCGGGCACTGTGTGTTGGAAGTGGTTGTGAAAGATGAAAGGTTATGACCGCCAGTTGCCACATCCGTTCCTCCCCCTCAACCAGTCGCCTTTCTCTATGAAAGGCAAAGTTTCCAAGGCAAAGCTTGGAAAGCCCTCCCCTGACACACACACCTGCTGTCAGCCCCCATGGTGGCAGTTTCCTTGGATGCCCAGGTTCCCTAGTTCCAGTTGTTATACTGTCCTTGACTCAGTCATTTCTGTGTCTGAACTTGGCTTCCCAGGAGGAAAAGGATGAAGGAAAATACATCTTGGCAGGCTCCAAGAAGAGATGAGAGCACCTGGGCTCGGGGATATTATTGAGATACGGTTGTTAGGTGCTGGGGAGTCAGTTTTGACTCATAGCGACCCTAAGGACAATAAAAGGGAACACTACTATTCTCACAGTTGTTGCTATGTTTAAGCCCATTGTTGCAGCCACTGTGTCAATCCATCTAGTTGAGAGTCTTCCTTCTACTCTACCAAGCATAATGACCTTCTGTAGGGACTGGTGCCTCCTGATAACATGTCCAAAGTACATGAAACAAAGTCTTGTCATCCTTGCTTCTAAGGAGCATATTACTACCTGAGATAATACTATGTAGGCCTAGAATCACACATGCTTTCTTTAGTCCAGTCTGAATTGACTGAGTTCTTGGAATTGTTCCTTGGTGCCAAGCATTAGGGAAGTGGACCACTTTCTCTGAGAGAACAAAGGAAGAACTTCCTGCCTCCCTGCTTTTCTTCCCTGGGGACACCTGAGTTTATTTGTTTTTAAATTATGGTAAATATATATGTAACAAAACATTTGCCATTTCAACATTCTTCCTACATACAATTTAGTGCCTTTAATCGTGTTCATTCTGTTATGCAACCTCTCTGTTCATCTGTTTTCAATTTTTTTTTTTCATCACTGGAAGCTCAGTATCCCCAAAGCAATGAGTCCTCCTTTTTCCCTCCTGCCCACCGCACCCTGGTAACCACTAAGAACTTTTACCTGTATTTACTTGCTTATTCTAGATAATTCATTTAAGTGGAATTGTAGAATATTTGTCCTTTTGTGGCTGATTTATTTTTTTTATGTATTGCTTGAATACTGTAAACAAATTTTGGTAGGCGGGGAGGTCCCATATTCCTTCTGTTTTTCAGTGTAGCCAAACCCTAGGTATGGGGTTTAATGTCAGCTGTATGGATGTGGTTAGCCCAGTATGTATACACATGCTTGGGGAACCTTCTGCTAATTGGACAGAGTTTTTGAACGGCACAGTTAAGTGCTCAACTACTAGCTGAAAGGTGGGTGGTTCAATATCATGCAGAAGTACTTTAGAAGACAGCTTTGCAATCTGCTTCTGAAAGGCATCTACTTTTGTCCTTGTAAACCCTATGGGTTTCTATTCTGCACACATGGGGTTGCCATGAGTCAGAATTGACTTGAAGGCAACTAACAACAACTTCTTGTTGATCACTGTGCTTGGTAGTATAGCTGATCCAAAGCCAGCTCTCTACAGCTTCCAGTTGAGCAAGGAGACTGCAAGTGGACCCACATGAGAGGACAAGGCTGATGACCAAGGGTGGCACAGAAAAGTGAAGGGCATCTTACAATGACCAAGCATTCTGACTTCATGCTGGTGGCATAGTGCCTAACACATTTGACTGCTAACTAGAAGGCTGACGTTTCAAACTCACCAGCCACTCCTAGGAAGGAAGGTTGGGCAATCTATTTTCGTAGAGATACTGCCTTGGAAACTCAAGGAGGGGTCGCTATGAGTCGGATCCAACTCGACAGCAGTGTGTTTTGTCTTTTTTTTTTTGGTACACTGATAACTTCCTCGTCTTTGTATCTGGACCGGCAGGCTCTCTCTCCTGAAATCCAGATCCATATAACCACTCCAAACACTGCCATTCAAGTGTTGTTGGATTGTTGAGATTTTGTGATGGCTTCTCATGGCCCAGTTAAGTACTCTCCTCCCTGATAATTTATCCTATAGGGTACTACCCTTGCTTTCTCCTCCAGCTCCACTTTTTATTGGCCCTCTTCTTAAAGCAGCCCCAGCCACTTCTTTCCCTCTGTGCCCTTCTTACCTCCTTCACCATTCTGCTGTCCTGGGAAGCCTGCCCTGCATGCCCAGCTCTGGCCAACCACTGTCTCACTGCAGCCCCATGGACACTCCCGCAGACCTCCCCAACCCACAGGTCACATGGTTGCAACTGTCCTCTATCTGTGCTCCCTGCCACTCAGGAAGCTCCTCGTGGAAAGAGACCTCATCTTTCTCCTGCTGTATGTGGAGAACATGTTGTCTGGTACTGGGGGTCTCAGAAACACTCACACATGCTTGTCATCAGCCAAGGACGCAGGTGTGAGGTATGCTGGTGAGATCACACAACCAATGACTCTGTTGTTATTGTTAGCTGCCCTTGAATCGGCCCAATTCATGACTACCTCATGCACAAAACAAGAAAACGTTGCCTGGTCCTGCACTATCCCCGTGATTGCTTGCAGTTCAGACCATTGTGATCCATAGGGTTTTCATTGACTGGTTTTTGGAAGTAGATAGCCAGGTCTCTTTTCCTAGTCTGTCTTTGTCAGGAAGCTCTGCTGAAACCCGTTCAGCATCATAGCAACATGGAAGCCTCCACTGATGGATGTGTGGTGACTGTACGTGAGGTGCATTCGCTGGGAATTGAACATGAAAGGCGAGAATTCTACCACAGAAAACCAGTGCCCCCTAAAGTCTACTTTTTTTTTTAATCAGTTGCCATGGAGTCAACCCTGATGGTGACCCAAAGTGTATCAGATTAGAATTGTACTTCATTGAGTTCTCAATGGATGATTTTTTTCAGAAATAGATTGCCAGGCCTTTCTTCCAGGGCACCTCAAACCTCCAACCTTTCCTTTAGCATCTAAGCATATTAAGTATTTGCACCACCAGGTAACAAGTTGTTGTTGTTGTTATGTGAAATTAAGTCAGCTCTGACTCATAGCAACCCCTTCTTGGGTTTCCGAGGCGGTATCACTATGGAAGTAGATTGCCCAATCTTCCTTCTGAGGAGTGGCTGGTGGGTTTGAACCGCCAGCCTTCTGGTTAGCAGTCAAGTGCCTTAGGCACTATGCTACCACTCTTTTTGTGACCCTGGAGCCCAGTTTACTCCTCAGCTCCTCCTTCCTGCCATTCGCTCCCATCCCCTTTATTTTGCAGGGTAAAACGAGCTTCTGGATACAGATACTCTATGGCATTTGCATTTTAAGTCCTAGATTATCAGAGGAAAAAAAATGGGGAAAGTATTTGTGTGGGCTTGGACCTATTCCACCTGTATATACCATTTCAAGCATATTCCTATAAAGAACACATCTTGGAGTACCTAGTAATTTTCACAAATTGGTTGATTTTGCTTATAGTTTAGAAGATTATCATAATGAATTGTAAGCGCAGATATTGGAGGAGGGCAGGTCCCACCTTGGATATCTACTAGTTGTGGGACCTTGGACCAATAGTTCAGCTCACCCAGTCCTGATCACCCACCTCCCCTGTAAGATGAGGAAAGTTTACATGGTATAGAGAAGTATTGTTTGGGTGGAAGTCATAGGAGTGAGTTCAATTCCAGACCTGAAGGGTAACTAGGAGCCCTAGTCTCAGGGGTCTCACCAGCCTCTATCAGACCAGCAGACCTGGTGGTCTTCTTTTTCACTGACTCTCTACTTTACAGAGCATGTTATTCTTCTCCAGGAAATGGTGCCCCCAGATAACATGTCCAAAGTAAGTGAAACAAAGTCTCATCATCCTCACTTCCAAGGAGCAGCATTCTGGCTATTCCCGCCTAGACAGATTTGTTTGTTCTTCTGGCAGTCCATGGGATGTTCAGTATTCTTTGCTAACACCGTAATCCAAATGCATCAATGATAGAGTATTTATAAAATGCTTAGCACAGGGAGAGTGCTTAAGAAACAATAGTAACTCTTTCGATTTCTTTCCCTAGGAATATGAAGGGGAACGGAATGATGCAGGTCAACGGCATGGGCACGGGAGAGCCAGACTGCCCAATGGGGACACCTATGAAGGGAGGTATGAGTTTGGTAAAAGACATGGCCAGGTAAGAACCATGACATGAATGGAGTGTTTTCTATTTAGGTAGGTATTGAATCTATTAGTGAATAGGATATTTAGGAATGGTATGTATTTTGTTTTTTTATGTATTATGTAATCAATGTGTTTCAGGGGACCTACAAATTTAAAAATGGTGCTCGCTACATTGGAGAATATTTCAAAAATAAAAAGCATGGTCAAGGCACTTTTATATATCCAGATGGATCACGATATGAAGGTAAAATGTTACGCCAAGCCAGTTTTTTTTTTTTTTTTTGTGTGTGTGTGTGTGTTTTGCAAAGGTTTTTTTCCTTTTGTGATCGAACTTGTCTGCGGATAGTGAAGTAAAAGAGAGGACATAAAGTTCTCCAGATTAGCCAGTCATTCAACAAACACAAATTGTGTTCTTAGCTTCATGGACTGGACAAGGTAAGCAGACTGCCTCTTAATTAATTAATCCACAGTGGGAAATATGACCAGCACATTTTCTCCTGAGTTAGTTTGCTAGGGAGCAAGTGTCTGGTAGTATGGTGGTTAATAAAGCTTTGGGCTACTAACCAAAAGGTCGACAGTGTGAACCCACTGGCTGCTCCACAGGAGAACAATGATGCAGTCTGATTCTGTAAAGATTTACAGCCTTGGAAACCCTACGGGGCAGTTCTGTTCTGTCCTATAGGGTCAATATGAGTCAGAAACAACTCAATTGCAATGGGTTTGATTTGGTCAAAGTGACAGGGGTGGCTGTTGGGTAAGCATAGACTTGAAGGTGGTTGGATCATGACTTTAGAGAGTCAGAATTGACTTGACACCAATGGAGTTGTGGGTACCATTCATCTGGAGTCCCTGTGTGATGCAAATGATTAATGTATGATGGCTGTTAAATAGAAAGATTAGAGGTTCAAATTTATCCAGAGGTATCTCAGAAGAAAGCTGTGGTGATCTACGTCCAAAAAATCAGCCACTGAAAACCCTGGGGAGCACAATTCTACTGTGACATGCATGGAATAACCATGAGTCAGAATTGATTAGATGGTAACTGTTTTTTACCATCGGTCTCCTCAACGTTCTTTTCACAGTGTTCCACTGCTGAACTACTGAGCAACCCTTCTTCTGATGAACACATTGTTTCTTTAGATCAGTGGTTCCTTCCATGAGATCTTGTCTGGGAGACATTCTGCCTTGTTCAGCTGGCTTTTCCTATCTCTGCTACAATTCCTTACATGCCAATTATATGTCTCAGGAGGACCCTTGTTCCCTTATTTCCTATACCTCACTGCTGCCTCCATGCACACAGTCACCTTCTGTGACTCAAAGCAGGAATTCTGGCCCTGGGAAGAGATGAGACATAGAAAGTTGTGTTTTTTATGTTTTTTAATTAAATGTCAGTTTGAAACAACAGTATGTTGTTATGTGCCGTAGAGTCGGACCCGACTCATAGTGACCCCTCCTTGGGTTTCTGAGGCAGTATCACTATAGAAGTAGATTGCCCAACCTTCCTTCTGAGGAGTGGCTGGAAGGCTGCTAACTGCCAGCCTTCTGGTTAGCAATCAAGTGCCTTAGGCACTACACTACCAGAGCTCCCTAACAGTATAAAATTTCTAAAAACATTTACTTCAACATTCATAGCTGCTAAAGACCTGCTCCAGGGGGTGGCCTTTCTCTCAGTCACCTTCCTCAGTTGAGCAAGGTTTGCTGCAGTGTCCTTGTGATCTGGTGAGCAGAGTTTCTAACAAATTTTATGTAAAGCAGACCAGGGCCTTTTTAAAGCTTTTCCCACCAGTCTTTACCTGTTGCCATTGAGTTGATTCTGACTCACAACGACCCTATATGACAGAGTAGAACTGCTCCATAGGGTTTCCAAGGTTATAAATCTTTACAGAAGCAGACTGCCACTTCCTTCTGCAAAAATATGGCAAACATCACAAAATTCAAGGAAGTAAACTAAGAGATTTATTAATGTCTGACACCCTTTAGAATATCTTTCCCCGATCTTTGTAAGCTAATACTCATTGAATGTCTTTCTATATGACAACTTTTTTTTTTTTTTTTAATGTAATTTTCTCTATGTAGCCTGGTGGCACAATGGTTAAGTGCTTGGCTGCTAACTGAAAGATTGGCAGGTGGTTCAAACCTAGCCAGCAGCTCCATGGGAGAAAGACTGTTGATCTGCATCTAAAGATTACAACTTGGAAAATTCTATGGGGAAGTTCTGCTTGGTCACATGGGGTCGTTACTAGTTTAAATTGATTCAACAGCACCTATCAACAACTACAACAAATAAGAAGATAATTTTATCTTTCCTCTTTGGTCACAGATTGATCAAAATCTGTTTCTTTATTATTCATAGCTTAGAAAAGTATCTTTCAACTTAACAACTTGTTATTGGTAATGTCATGTACATTTTTAAAAGAGTTGTCAAATTTATGAAAATGTCTACTAAGTTTCTTTCATAAGTGACATGTAAAATTTGAGGAGATTTGGAGTTTTCTGGTTCAAAGATTAATCTTAAATACCCTTGGAAATCACCATGTCCATTACCTATTCTGCCGTGTGCTCTGGAATGCTAGGTCAGGTGTGACACAGTAAAGAGGAGTCAGGGAGGCCATGAAAGTCACAAGGATTATTGTTCTTTCAGTTTCCAGAGACAGGAAGGCACAGCACACCATGATGCAGGACTCTGCACCTGGGAATAAGCTAACAACAAGCTGGAGTTGTAGGAGAGGACTTATATATGGCAAGCAGGGTGGGGTTACCTAGGTTTCTTGGGCTTCCTAGGGATTGGCTATTTTGCATAGTTCCACAGGTTCAGGGGGCATAAGGGCTTTTCCTAATTGTTGGGTACCTAACTCCAGTGTCATTAGGATGGTTGCATAGTGGCCCAAGAGTGTGAGAATCTGCTAAGGGTTGTGGTTGGACAGTGAACTGCTCAAGAAGGGGAATGGACTGGCCTCTAGCCAGGGCCTCAAAACTAGATCAAGACAGTATTTCAAGAAATGGTATTGCATCTTGTCCTCATTGTAGAGGTACGTTATACATTTCATGTTATCTTTGCCAATTTTAGTACTTCACATCGTCACCAAAACATTAGCACACACTGGTATGGAGGTGAGTGGCAAAGCCACTTGTTGTAGGAAGAGTTCCAGCAGAGATTCAGGATGACTAAGGCATGGCCTCCAGATGCATGGAGGTAGTGTGTAGATGAGGCAGCTGGAGTCAGCTAGACTACAAAAGTGTGTGGGAGCTGGGTGGGAAATAGGTTGAAATGCTGGCATGTGCTAAGGATAGACTATCAAGCCTTGAAGTCAAGGATCAAAGCCCTGGTCCTGGATCTGTAAGCACATGAAGGTAAAGGAGTGTGGTGTTGGGATCATGGCAGTAGACAAGGTCAAATGAACTGGCTTTGGATCCTTGCTCTTCTCTTGACCAGCTTGTAGAACCTGCTGTCAGTACATACAGGTGATGTGGCCCATATACATATATCTCACCAGACTTACACCAGGTGGGTCCTGATTCAACTCTCCCTTTACCAGATCCCCTGATGGCCATGGCTACTCTAAGCCATCCAGTGTGAGAGGAAGAAGACAGAGTCAGAGCGGAAAGAGACAATGGCCTTTGCTGATGCAGTTAAAATCTCTCTCTTCTACAGCATTTCCAAAAACATCTGATCCCGTGAACACATTGCTAGAGTATGTGTGCAGCCCAGATGCAGAAACATCTCTAGTGTTACAGCAAACCTGCCTCTGATGCTGTACTAGCCCAGGAACATAGGCCATTACTCTTTCTTCTCACCCAGGTTGTATTGTGTCATTCTTTTCAGGAGAGTGGGCAGATGACCAGAGACATGGCCATGGTGTGTACTACTATGTCAACAATGACACCTACACAGGAGAGTGGTATTCTCACCAAAGGTTTGATTTACATCTTCAGCCTTGTACGTTTACTCATATGATAAGAGTATGATAATGATTATCCTTACATGGGAGTCCCTGGGTGATACAAACAGTTAACACACATAGCTGCACCTTGGAAGAAATGCCTGGTGATCTACACCTGGAAGATCAGCCATTGCAAACCCTATGGAGCACTGTTCTATTTTGACACATATGGGGTTGCCATGGGTCAGAGATGACTCATGCAGCTAACAACAACCATCCTAATTTGTGATTGTTTACACTTAGTAAGAAACAGAACCATGACAAAAGCCCATTTACCCACTCTGCCAGGCACTGCAGAACCTTCCGTGGTTCAAAGGAAGCCTGCTAGACAATATGATACTGAGCATGTGTGGACAGAGGGCCCTCAATGCTACACACCGTTGTCTCACCTCAGTGGAGCAGCATAAGGGCAGACACGTCTGACACCCAAGAGCTCCAAGGTGTGGGAGCATAGGAGAACCACAGCTCCTAGTAACACTGCTCCTTCCTCATGGGAACCCTCTGATGTGCAAGAAGGCTGCCTCTGTCCCGGGGTGATGCCGGTCCTTTGGGTGTGTGTCTGTTAATGTTGCTCCATGTTTGGGTGCACTGAGCAGGAGGCATCTTCAGATACAGAAACCAAACAGCATGTGAGCCTGCTCAGCTAGCCTCAGTGGAGGCTGCCCTCAAGTTACATGTCTGTGTATAAATCTCAAGGTTTTGTACTATGGTGGATCAAAATGCCAACATGCCCCTTGTCTTAACTAGGCATGGGCAAGGCACCTATTTCTATGCAGAGACGGGCAGCAAGTATGTTGGCACCTGGGTGAATGGACAGCAGGAGGGTGCAGCCGAGCTTATCCATCTGAACCACAGGTACCAGGGCAAGTTCTTGAACAAAAATGTAAGTCAATGGAAAGTGATGTTTGCCAATGAAATATACAAAGCTCCCTTCCCCCAGGTGGTGAAAATCTGCAGATGTAAAATACCTACCACTGTGGGAGCCTCTCCTGTCCCCTCCAAATAATGGGAACACCACAGCCACGCCTTCCTCTGTGAAATCCTGCTTCAGGCTCTGATACCTACAGAGAGTGGTGGGCGGGGGGAGGACTTGGCTTGTATCTCAGAAGAAATTAGGACGATCTTTCAGACATGGTCTATTATATCATTATAACACAAGGGGCATCTTAATTTCTTCCTTCCTTTTATTGGTCAGTCAGTCTGAAACCACTGAATGTTTCTTGCAGTTCAGCATGTAGATGTTTTAACTTTTTTTCCCCTTGAAGGGGTGTTTCTAGAGCCTTGTAGAGGGAGACCCATGAGTTCTTTCCTTGCATTGCAGGCCAGTGGCTTCTCCCAAGCAGTGGTAGGGCTTGGGGGTACCTGGGGAGCAGGCTTGCTTTCCAGCTCACAGTACCCACGATTGGTCACTGCCATCTGGAATACTCTGGGACTTTGCTTGCCCTTCTTGTACAGGTGCCTGGTGTGATGCTGAGAAACCTTGGATAATTCAGAATCTTTTGCATGGACATTCATGGGTTGAGGGGAAACTCCCTGAATAAAGAGTTTGTTGAGCAAATTAATAGATTAGAAGTTGACATAGGGAACATTTAACTGAATTAAATCATTTCAGACTCTTAAAATCCAGTTTTCGTTTACATGTAATTTATGTCCTAACCGTAGACTTTGTGTTTCATCTTTATGAAAACAACATATTCTTCTCAAATCTGTATAATATATATGTAATTCTCAGCAAAATTCTTATGGGAGCTTTATGAGGATGGGAAGTTGGAGGACACTAACTTGACAAAGGTTAATCTAGAAGAATTAATAAGCCTATTTACGTACAACCAAAACCTTTATAGGATTTCTTGGTTTGGAGGTTTAGGGTCATGATTTCATGGGATATCCAGTTAATTGACCTAATAACATGTTGAGTGCTTCTGTTTACCTCCTAGTTTGCTGTGTAGTGCCTGAGGTCTTAAAAGCTTGCAAGTGGCCATCCAAGCCACAACAATTAATTTCTAGTCACCTGGAGCAGCAGGAAGGAGAGTCAGTAACAGGAGGAGGATATGGAATGTGTGGCTAATTGTCTTCATGAACAACTGTAGGCTTTGCCACAAGAGTAGAAGAACTGACTGGTGTCTGGCTACCATTACTGAACATTTCGATCAAAGTTTCTATAGCAGAATCCTGATCAAAAGGGGGAAAATTCAGAACAGAATTTCAAATTCTCATAGACTTAAGACTTTCTGTAGCTAAGGAAACTGAATGAACCCCTAAAATTATTGCCCTGAGATAATCTTTAACACTTAATAAAAAAATGTCCCCTGAAGTCTTCTTAAAACCAAACAATAGTTTAGCTTAACTATTAAAAAATGTCTGCCTTAAGCATTATGCTCTTTTTAGAACTATCTATATGGGATCAAGGTGACAACAGCAAGTCAAAAGAGTAGATAGCAATCATAGAGGGCAGTGAATTTATATTAATGGAGGAGGAAGCTCAGAAAAGGAGAGAAAGTGGTTGCATAACTCAAAGAATGTAGTCAATGTCACTGAATGGTACATGTAGAAGCTATTAAATCAGTGTATATTTTTCCGTGCATATTCTCTACAACTACAAAATTGAAAGAAAAAAAAAGGGTACTAACATGGAAAGAATTGACTTGGCAGAGACTTTGATTTGGATTTTTAGTCTTCAGAACTGTGAAAAAATAAATTCCTGTTCTTTAAAGCCACCCACTTATGGTATTTGTGTTAAGTAGTCTTAAGAAACTAAGACACATATGATTGTATTTAGGTTCCACCTTAGTGCCTAAGGCGTTTGACTGCTAACCAGAAGGTAGGAGGTTCAAACCCACCAGCCACTCCATGGAAGGAAGACTGGGCAAACTACTTCCGTAAAGATTTACTGCCTCAGAAACCCAAAGTGGGTCTCTATGAGTCAGAATTGACTTGATGGCAGTGAGTTTGGTTTTCGTTTGGATAATCAAGAATAATCTTCCCTCTCAAGATCCTTAATGTAATCACATCTGCAAAGTCCTCTTTTTATTTTTTGCCATAGAAAGTAACATTCACAGATTGCAGGGATTAGGGCTTTGGTATCTTTTTTGGGGCCATTGTTCATTCTACCACGAATCTGTTCTGAAGCACATAGATTAAGATGAGTTCTAGAAAGAGTAAAGATTTAAATGGAAACAGGAAACTCCATGTAGAAGAAAATATAGGTGAATATTTGCTAGCTTTGTAATAGAGGAAGAGAACTTTTTAAACAGCAACTTAAAAGCCAAACCAAAAAAGTCTCTTAAAGATTAGAAAATGCCATAGACAAATGGTGATAGGATATTTGCAGCAGTTAATATTTAAAGATCTTCTTTTTCTTGTTGCTAGATACCGTTGAGTAGTTTTGACTATGTACAATAGAACTAAATACTGCCTCCTGCACCATCCTCATAAACATTGCTATGCTTGAGGCATTGTTGTAGCCACTATGTCAATCCAGCTTGTTGAGGGTCTTCCTCTTTTTTTTTTTTTTTTCATTTCACTTCAATACACACTTTTCTTTCTTTCTTTTTTAAATTATGATTTGGGTGAAAATTTACAGAGCAAATTCACTTTCCGTACAGCAGCTCACATTTGCTTTGTCTCATGATCCTATTTTTTTCTTCATTTATTATTCTCCTTCCCTACTGTTTTTTTTTTTTTTTTTTTTTTTTTTGATTTCACTTCAATACACACTTTTCTTTCTTTCTTTTTTAAATTATGATTTGGGTGAAAATTTACAGAGCAAATTCACTTTCCGTACAGCAGCTCACATTTGCTTTGTCTCATGACATTGACTACAATTTCCCACAATGCAACAGCTCCCCTTCCACCTCCTCCCCTTAGTTACCTCTTCCCTGTGTCCTTCCCTCCCATGCACTTCTGCTTCTTGAGCTATCTCTCTCTGCATACACAGCCCTTCTATTTTCCCATGATTGTTCTCTCCAAGGAGTGTATCTACCTAATGTAAATGTTCAGCTCATATGCCTGTCTTTTGTTTGGCTGGAAGCTACAGGAATGGGTTCAATTCCAGACCTAAAGGGCAGCTAGGGGCCATAGTCTCAGTGGTTCCATCAGGCTCTATCAGACCAGCAAACCTGGTCCCTTTCGTTTCTTTCTCTTTTTAATGATTTTGAGTTTTGTTACACATTTTTCTCCCATTCTATCCAGGATCTCCTACATAGATCCCCCTCCGAGTGTTTGATAGTGGTAGTCAGGCACCATCTAGTTCTTCTGGTCTCATAGTCATATAAGGCTGAGGATTACATGGTGTACCAGTCGCTTGGACTAATTACTTCCACAAGTCTTTGGTTTTCTTCATTCTTCTTTGCTCTGGATGGGGAGAGACCCACTGTAGCATTGAAGGGGCTGCTTATAAGCTTTTAAGATCCCAGTCACTACTTGCTGAAGTAGGATGTGAAACAATGTTTTATGTAGTATGTTATGCCAATTGAGCTTGATATCCCCTTCAACTATGGTCCCAAGTCCACAGGTCCAACTACTCACTCCCTCTGGGTAGCTGGCTGTGGCCAAGAGGTAACTACAACTTTGTCCCTTGTTAGATCTAGTATATACCTGGGAAATCTTACAGAACATACCAATATGCTTGTAGAAACATTGTCTGCCAACCCTACATATGGTCATGGGCACAATCCCTCCTGCAGAGACATACCTAATAGTTCAGCCTGTTCACCCCTATATCCATGTTTGCCTTCACAGACAACGCAGTACTGTATGTGCGGAAGGGTTCATCTTTGTTGTCTGTACCTCCCATGCAACTCTCTATGTCTTCCTTTTCCTCAGTGCCACCATGTTGATCACTCACATTTAGTACATTGCCCTTCTCTTCACCCAAATCAATACTTGTTCTACCTATTTAACAGTGTTCCCTCCCTTCCCCTCCCCCACCAGTAATGATCAAAGAAAATTTCTTTCCATATGTAAACCTTTCCTTGACTTTTTACAATAACCAACTAACACAATATTTGTCCTTCTGTGGTTGTCTTATTTCACTCAGCATAATGTCCTCCAAGTTCATCCATGTTATGTGGTGTTTTGCAGATTCTACGTTATTATTTAGGTTTGCATAGTATTCCATTGTGTGTATGTACCATAGTTTGGTTATTCATTCTTCAGTTGATGGACACCTAGGTTGTTTCCATCTTTTGGCTATTGTAAATAGTGCAGAAATGAACATGGGTGTGCATACATCTGTTCTTGTCTTGGCTCTCACTTCCTTAGGGTATATACCTAGTAATGGCATGGCTGGGTCAAATGGTATTTCTAATTCTAACTTTATAAGGAATCGCCATACTGCTTTCCACAGTGGTTGTATCATTTTACAGTCCCACCAGCAGTATAGGAGAGTCCCAATCTCTCTACATCCTTGCCAGCATCCACCATTTTCTGTCTTGTTGAACTTTGCTACTAGTGCTGGGGCAAGATGGTGTCTCGTTGTTTTGATTTGCATCTCTCTGATGGCTAATGATTGTGCGTGTTTCTTCATATGTTTGTTGGCCACCTGAATATCCTCTTTGGTGAGGTGTCTATTCATATCTTCTGCCCATTTTTCAATTGTATCTTCCTCTTTTTCAGTGACCTTCTATTTCACCCAGCATGACATCTTTCTCCAGGGACCAGTGTCTCTTAATAACATGATCAAACTAAGAGATAAAGTTTCACTATCCTCATTTATCAGGAGCATTCTGGCTGTACTTCATCCAAGACATATTCTTCTGACAGTTCACAGTATACTCAATATTCTTTGCCAACACTGTAATTCAAATACATCAGTTCTTTTTCAGTCTTCCTTATCCATTGTTCACCTTACACATGCATATGAGACTTCTGAAAAGACAATGG